TAAAAAAGTGGGATTACATCAAACTAAAAAGCTTTTGTGGAGCAAAGGAGACTATCAACAAAATGGAAAGGCAACCTAGTGAATGGAAGAAGATATTTACAAATCATACGTTTGATAAAGGGTTAATATCCAAAATATGTTAAAAAAAAAAAAACTTACACACCTTTATACATAGATAGACCCTAAACAATCCAGTTAAAAATTGGGCAAAGGATTTGGATAGACATTTTTCCAAAGAAGATCTACCAATGGCCAATGGGCACATGAAAAAGTGCTCAACATCACTATCAAGGAAATGCAAATCAAAACCACAATGAGATGTAACTCCACACCTATGAGAATGGCTGTTCTCAAAAAGAAGAATAACAAGTGTTGGCAAGGATGTGAAGAAAAGGGAACACTTGTGCACTGTTGGTAGGAATGTAAATTGGTGCAGCCACCATGGACAGCAGTGTGGAGGCTCCTCAAAAAAATTAAAAATAGAACTGCCATAAAATCCAGCAATTTCACTTCTGGGTATTTATCCAAGGAAACAAAAACACCAGTTTGAAGAGATATATACAACCAGTATGTTCATTGTGGCATAATTTATAGTCACCAAGATATGAAAGCAGCCTAAGTATCCATCAATAGATAAATGGATAAAGAAGCTGTGGAATATATATATATACACACACATATATATATGTATATATATACACACACATATATATGTATATATACACACACAAATATATATATATATATGATGGAAAATTGCTCAACCATGAAAAGAAATGAAATCTTGCCATTTGTGATAACATGAATGGATCTAGAGGGTATTATGCTGAATGAAATAAGTCAGATAAAGACAAATATTGTATGATTTCACTGTAGAATCTAAAAAACAAAACAAATGAGCAAAGAAAACAGACATAGACTCATAGATACAGGAAACAAATTGGTGGTTACCAGAGTGGGGAGTGGTTGGGGAGTTGGCAAACTAAATAAAAGGAATTAATAGGTACAAACTTCCAGTTGTAAGATAAATAAATCATGGGAATGTGATGTACAGCATAAGATATATAGTCAGTAACATTGTAATAACTTTGTATGGTGACAGATGGTAACTAGACTTACCTTGGGGATCATTTTGTAATGTGTAAAAATAAATCACTATAATATGTACCTGAAACCAATAGGATATTGTATGTCAATTATACTTCAATTTCAAAAAGTGAGACAAGACTTTATAATAGTTATGGATGAGGGACACTGATAGACCATTCAGAAATATTAGTGCTTCTTTCTCTAGGAAAATGATTTAACTCTACTAACATTAGACCCAATTCTTTACTTTGAGGGAAACTATTTTCTTTACCAATGCCCCAGGGAAAGACTGAGAGCTCTGAAGGGAAGTCAGTTGCCTGCATTCATTTGTCCTAGTTTGTCCGCAAACCAACATTGACCTTTTTCAGGAAGCTGTGAGCATCAGCTTAAAGAAGTCTGTAGGGTGCTCAAATTTTATGCTTTGAGAAGCCTAAGGAAAAAGCTCCCAGGTAAACTTGCAATAGTCTGACATCATCAATTAGTAAGTTACCTCTTGAATATCTCTTGAGTGGTTACACTCGTTTGGACACACGAGTGTAGCTTTATGAAGCTACACTGCCTAGCTTTATGAAGTTTCTCTTTACTTACAGTATTCTCCATTTGAAAAATCCTTACACACATGGAAATGAGAAATCAGAATATGGGATCAGTATGCTTCCTGGCCCTGTATTTCCTTGCACCCGTGTCCATGCATCCTTTGGGGGCACAGATACAGAATGGTGCCCAAGCCTATCTATAACCACTGGATTCGTGGGCTGAGAATAAGGAACAAGCAATCACCAGCTCCTAAGAAATCAGTAGCTTCTATCTTAATATTAATAGACTGTAGCTCCCTGTATGTTAACTAACTGGACTTTAAATAAACATTTTAGGGGCACCTGGGTGGCTCAGTTGGTTAACTGTCAGACTTCAGCTCAGCTCATGATTTCATGGTCTGAGTGCTACATCTGTGCTGATAGCTCAGAGCCTGAAGCATGCTTCAGATTCTGTGTCTCCCTTCCCTGCTTGCACTCTGTTCCTTTCTCTCTCTCAAAAATAAATAAACATTAAAAAAAAAAAAAAGGTGGGGCAGTCTATATTTATTGAATAAATAAATGAATCTTATCTAGATCCTTGGCCTTTTATCCACATTGATAATACATTACTTAACCATGAATGTGCAGACTTATGTAGATTTCCATAGATATCTACAAGTTAACAATGCACAGTGTGTATTTCTATAAAGTATTAATATGAATTTGAAAGTATGTAGATTAGACTTGTCTGCATGGAGGCAGGCAGGTTAAATTTTAGGGTTCTTGTTATTTCTAGTGATAAGAGATTTGCATATAGGTATCTGAAAATTGTGAAATTTTAAGCATTTGTGAAATTTGTGAAAATTGTAAGTATAATATTTATCTGTTTTTGTGCTGTTTTGTAAAAGAATCAATTCTGTATTCACAGCTGGAGTCGGTGTAGGTTTTAAATTCATTAAGTGGACTCCTCCTTTCCCACCTGGGGATAGATCAGCTCAAGAGAAAATGAGACTTATTTTAAGGCCTCTTCCTCTTCCAAATCCCAAAGGTCATGTTGCTAATGCCTTTTGGAAAGAAAGGGAGATTACAGCCAGTATATTAAGTGGTTACTTTCTGCTGACTGTGCGCATGCCCACACACACTTGTGCAAACATACTTTTACCTAAAAGAAGTATCCTTCAAAATGAGGCTTTTGTTAACAACTGTGTGAGGAGTATTTATTATTGAAGTTTATTTTAATATATAAATAGGTAAACCTTATTTCTAACTCTTGAGTTAATACATATCCATAGTGGAATGTTATGAAATTAAAGAAGACAACAGTTGTCCATAATCCCACCACACAAACCATTCTTAACATTCTGGCAAATTTTCTTCCAGTCTCTTTTGATGGGTTTTTGTGTAATTTAAGTAGGAATGTTTAACATAAGCATCTTAACATACTTAAAATTTTGTGTAAACATCAATTTTAGTGACTACATGATATTCATCTTACAGATAGATACACCTCACTACTTAACCATTCTCTTAATATTGAGATTTGGGCTGTTTTCAGTTGTTTTTCCCGCCTTCAGTTTTTTGATAACACAAATAACAGTTTTGAGATTAGTATCATTGTTCTCTGCCTTTATTATCGTTTCCTGAGGTTCGATTACTAGAAGTAGGATTACTGAATCAAAAGGAACAACCATTTTTATAAAGTTCTTAATCACATTCCAGAGATGGTATACCAGTTTTCATTTTCACCATGGGTGTGTGTGAAAGTAACTTTCCCCTCCTTTCCCTAAAGGAGGGAAAACTGTACTTGTTGCCAAGCAACAGTCAAAAATTACACCAAAATTTAAATAAATTTAACTTTAACTTCTCTTTTTTAAACAGTATATTCTTTTAACATTGTTTCAGTGTAGATCCTGTACCAATGTTTTAACTCTGGATGTAGCCTAGAATATTGTCCAAAGGAAAATAAGAGTAGCTTCAATTTTAACATAGTAGTTAATATTTTCATTACAGAATTATCACCCTTTTGCAGGGAAGTCTCTATGTTAGATAAGAAAAGAGTCAAACAAGTCCATTACCTTCCTGTAGAGGAGCTAGTTTCTTGTAACCTTTGTTTACGTTTTAATCACCCTAGAAGTTTTATCCCTCTCAGCATCCATGGGTTGGCTCACATATCTATCCTATGAGTAAATACAAATGCTTCCTTCAACTGGAAGCAAAACCAGTACACCCCTTACTTATAAAGCGAGTTAAAAAACAAGAAGAAAGAATAATGTAAAAACTGAAGGAAGGTAGTAAGTAAAGTATTTAGCTTTCTGAAACAATTCAAATGGGGATAGGAAGTTGGTTTTAAATGGCTTAAGGGAGATTAGGGTTTTAAAGTTGGATAAGGAGTTTGGTGCTTTGGTTTAGGCATGGCATTGCTTTTAAAAGATTACTTCCATATTTGACAACAATTCTAACTGGAGATTATAAAGCAAATAGTCAATTTTAAAACACTGCGGAATACAAGAGGGCTTCTTTTTGTTGTTGTTTGTTTATACAAAATGATTGCTTAGAGTTAACAGGCTGAGTCCTGAAGCCCACATTTCATAATACTACTGAGGATCTGTCACCAAGGAGAATTCAGCAGAGGTTGTTTAATGCACTTAATTGAGATTATCTGAGCTTTTGGTTTAAATTACTTTGGGAAAAGTCTAGGTACAAACGGCTTCTTTGAAAGGTAAACATACTTAACCTCTAAGAAAAAAAGGTTCAATTTAAGTTCTTTGAAATTCTTCAAACAGGTAGTAGCACCAACCCTTATTAAACGAGTATGAACTGAATAATGTGTAAAGAGTAAATCTCTATACATCAGAACAAGTGTTAATATAATTCTGTGAACAGTGTTTTCATTATTGTACACTTGTTTGAAAATGCAATTGTGTATTGTATTAGAAAATCATCCCCTGGCAATTACAGTAATTTCAAATGTAAAAAGATAGCGTATGCTATTTTGGTTGTAAAATATAGTTAATGATAAAGTTTAAAAAAATGAATTCCTTATTTTCCTTCTAAGAAGCAGGGCACATTAAGATCAAGGATCAAGATGGGGCGCCTGGGTGGCTTAGTCGGTTAAGCGTCCGACTTTCGCTTGGGTCATGATCTCGCGGTTCGTGGGTTCGAGCCCCGCGTCGGGCTCTGTGCTGACTGCCAGCTCAGAGCCTGGAGCCTGTTTCAGTCTGTGACTCCCTCTCTCTCTGACCCTCCCCTGCTCACGCTGTCTCTCTCTCTTTCCTAGAAATAAATAAAACATTTAAAAAAAAAAAAGATCAAGGATCAGGAATGACATATACTTCATGTATTAGCTATGGGCAAATACTCAAAGTTGGTTTAACATTTTTGCCCTATCTTCCTCAGCTCCTTGACCTGTTTATGGTTTGGGATTGGTCTACTTATCTAGCTGATTATGGACAGCCTGCTTCTAAGTACCTTCGGGTGAATCCAAACACAGCTCTTACGCTTTTGGAGAAGTGAGTATATTCTGAAAACGTTTTTGCATAACATTTTAGCATTTTGTGATTTAGTGATGACTGAAGAACTAGAGATTTTCAACAAAAGAGAAACGTCTAAATGGAGCTTAAAAGCTCAGTCCATTTTAATGACCAAAACATAAGCGTCTTTCTTTCTTGGTGCAGTGTTGGTGTAGTTTTATAAGAGATTGCTGTTTATGTTCATGCGAACAAAAATTTTCCTATTGCATCCTCAATAGGAGGCTTAATTGGCCTTAGGAATATGTTTACTGGAGATAAGTGAAAATTGGAACTATTTTTTTTTAATGCTCTAACACAGGAAAGAAGGTGTTTTGTAAAATGTGGCTAAGAATAGGCATGTTTGCTGTCAAAATCCTACCATGATGGACTTGGATTTTTTGTGCAGATAGAGATGTATGTGATCTGAAAAAATAAAATAGTAAAAGCTGAAGTAACAGGACATTTACCGGTGCATCTTGTCCAATTAAAAATAACAGAAGTTTAGGGGTTACTTTTCCCTCTCATGTGGCAGATTTTTCTTTTCACTTAATCATATTTCATTTTAGGTGTCACTATTAAGATTTTTAATTTCTGAATTAGAAATGTCTGTTATTTTTCCACATTTCAAATATCTGTGATGTGATTTGAGAGGACAAAAAGAACTGTTTAAAATAAATGTAAATTTACTGCACCATGAAACACTACTGAGGCCCCCCCAAAAAATATTGATTTAAATTTTCTAACGTTATTTTTCTTTTACCTTGTGTTGCTATGAATGTGATTTGCAGAGTCCATAGAGGGTATGTATTTTAGCATACTTTGTGGAATGATATTAGAAAATAGTATATTAGAAAAAGTGACATACTTTAGATTTACATACTAATGCAAAAACACTACTTAGTATAGAATGTAAAATAAAGTTGCTAATGTTTTGTGTAGTTGCTATCTCTGTATTTTTATTAGTACCTATTTTCTTTGAAGTATATTTTTCAAGCATAGGGTTGGTGTGAGATAATTCATGCCAACATAGTTTACTTACGACAACATAGCTTTTAATTTCTTTTTACCAAGCTTCTCCATTCACATATATTCCTAGGATGAAGGATACTAGCAAAAAGAACAATATATTTGCTCAGTTCAGGAAGAATGATCGAGACAAACAGAAGTTGATAGAGACAGTCGTGAAACAGCTGAGAAGTTTGGTGAATGGTATGTCCCAGCACACATAGACTTCGATTGCACTCAGTGACATCAAATCTGTGATTCTACATTGATCTCTAACAGCCACGGGTCATGATAACAGTAATTTGCAGAATTAAAAAATGCAGTAGAAAAAAGACACTGATGAGAGATTAAACAAGAAACAATAAATATATCATTTCTATGGATTTTTAAATAATTGGATACTATTTTATATATGGAGAAGGTGACAATTTTTTTCACTTTTAGGGAAAAAAGGTAAAACATAAATCAGGTCAAAAATTGTGTATGCAATTGATTGTAAATACATTAGAAAAACCTTATATGCCTCTACATATAAGTATTTTTTCTATTCAGACTTGATTTTTCTGGGTTCTTTTTCATCAGTATCCAGTTTCAGAATGCAATCATGTCTGATATGGGAGTATTTATTTCACTGTCATGTTGTGACTGTTAACTTTTATTTTCATCTCAATATAAGTATACTAAATTTTCCAGTTCTGTAGATTTCTAAGGTGAGGGTGGGGGATATACAAATCTTTAAAGGTCCCTGAAATCAAACTTGATTTCTGTAAGAATGTGAATTATTTGTTCTCCTTGGGTGCTTTAATTTAATGGTTCTGAATATGAAGAAAAGGTGTTTGGATTTTCTAGAGATGAGTGTTGCTGTTTAGCAGGGTTAATATTTTTAACTATATTGTTTGTAGCTGATCCCATTCTAGGATTTATTGGGTTTGGTTTGGCTCAAGTTAAAAGGGCATGAACGAAGTGGGGCAAACCATTTGAGATGCTGCTTGCGCTAGGGTAGCTATGATCCTACACCAGAAGTTACACAGGGGTCAGGTTACTTTCTCCAATATCTCAGTACCTGTCTTCAGTATGGAAATAAGCCACACCAAGTGAACTCTGGAAAATCTAAAATGAATGTACATTTTCTACTCTGTAAATTACCACCGTGGTCCAAATGGTGATACCAGTCTGATCCCAACTTTCTTTTCATTGTATTTATGCTGACTATTCCTTTTCTATTTTCAGGATTTATGCCTGTAAGAAACTTATACTTGACTGTGTAAAATAAGTGTAAAGAATTAGATGTACATTTCTTGATTTTGTGATGAAATATTAAAAAGTTTGAGCAGGTTGTTGAAAATGCATTGCTATTGCCTCTATTCAGAGCTTCCTTATTTAAGACAACTGCTTCCTTCAGAAAGACTTATTCTCTCGTTATTGGAATGGGGAGTGTTACAAAACAAAGATATAAGCATTTTTTTGACCACCTCAATCCTAAAGTACTGCACATTTAAAAAAAAAAAAAAACCTACATGGAGAACATGGTAATTCTTCAGGCACAATAAAATCTGGAAATTAGAAGAGGAGCGGTGAACAGCTAGCTCTTTTTGAAGACTGTGGAATGTGGCTGCCCCTCGCGTGCCTTACCCGGCCCTGCAGGGCATTCGGGATGTCGCTCTGGCTTTCTTTGCGGCGTCCCCGGATCCGGGGAGACACCGCTTTAGCACTGCTTGGAGTAGACCGCAGTGGGCCCCTAGCTGCGATGGTGTGGGATTCACTTTCTTCTATAATCCATAAAACATCCCGCCCACTTCCCGCCAGCCCTCGGGTTGCACTGTAGGGACCGGGACGCTCGAACCGTGGGGCATTTGGAGCCCTCGGACGGGGACACACACAAAAAAACGAGAAGCACAGGTAGACTGATTGGGGTCGAGTGGGGTGGCCTCCGGAGTGGGAAGGAACGGTGAATTCGGTCCTTGAGACCCGAAAGACGCCCGGAGAGATCTACTTCTGGTGGGACGAGGGTGTCTCAGTGAAGCTTTGGGCAGCAGTGACACACACTACCATGTTTTGAAGGGGTCCCGAAGTGGTAGATCAGAAACCGGGCCGGTGTGGGGATGTCGGAGAATCTCGACCCCGGCTACCCTTTGTAAGGTGCTTGCAATGCAAGGCAGGCATCGAAGACCCCACTTTCCCTGGGAATTGAAACAGAGCAAAGGGGTCAACCTTTCAACCTTGGAGTGCCGAGAGGGGAAGGGGCACCTGCACCCTAGAGGGTGGGGATGCCAGAGAGCCCGCGTTAGCCGAGGGCGCGCGGTTCGCCCACCCGCGGAGCTGCGGCGTACAGCCGGGAACTTCTGGCGCGAAACCGCAGGCCCCGCCCGAGGATCTGCGCGGGGCGCGGCCCCCAGCCCAGCCCGAGCGCCTCGGCGGCTGCCACTCCTTACTCCTAGTCCGCGGGTGAGCGTGCCGCTGCCCACCGCCTCCAATCATTACTCTGCTCGCAGCGCTTTAAATATGCATGGGCACGTCACGTTGTAGGAGTCGGGACCGGTCCGCAGGGAGGGAGCCAGTATCTATATAAATGTGTCCAGGGTGGGCTGAGAAGAGAGGGAGGTGGGGCGGGGGTCTACAGCCCCGGTGACCGCAGCCCAAGTTGGCAACACCGGGTGAGTTGCTCCTCGCTTTGCTCCCCTCGCTGCCTCTATCAAAGGAGCGCTGACCTGCGGAGGAGGTGGGAGGCGCCCGCGGCTGCCGGGCGCCAGCGGTCCCGAGGCAGCCGGCACCCCAGCGAGGGACTGGCATTTGGGCCCAGAAGCCGTCGGACTAGAGGAAGGCACGTTCCCTGAGGGCGTGTGGTCGCTGCCGCCTTCTGCTACCAATCTGCTGCTAGAGCGAAGTCCCTGTCCGAGGTTATAAATCTCGGTTTTGGTCCCCAAGCCCCAGGCCCTTTCCGGACCGAACAGGTGAGCACCGCGCGCTACCAGAGCCCCGGCTCTCGCGCCCCCTGCGCTCCGAGCCGCGTGGCCGCCCCCCGCTGGCTCGCCATGTTCCCCTGGGGGCTGAGCTGCCTGTCGGTGCTGGGGGCAGCGGGCACCGCTCTCCTGGGCGCCGGCCTGCTGCTCAGCCTGGCCCAGCACCTCTGGACGCTCCGCTGGACGCTGAGCCGGGACCGGGCCTCCGCCCTGCCCCTGCCCAAGGGCTCCATGGGCTGGCCCTTCTTCGGCGAAACGCTGCACTGGTTAGTTCAGGTGAGTAGCTCACACCCCATCGTGCTCTCACCCCAACATGACCCGTTCTTCCCTGGCTCCCACTGGACCCTCCTCGCTCTCAGTGTGTCCCCAGGGTTCGTGGCCGGTCTCGTCCTGTCGCCCAGGGCCTCAGAGAGCATACACAGCCCTCGCCTTTGTCCAGCGGCTCCCTCGAAGGGACCGTATGTCACCGGGGTTCTCCCCAGCGCAACTTACACGACACCACGCCAGGGTGAACAGAGGGGTTCTAAGAAGCGTTCGCTCTATACCCTGGAAGCACATAATCAGGAACCCCGGGCGCTTTTCGGCCGTGAGCCCTCGGGCTCTCACATCCCCATTCTGAGCCTCCTACTCGCCCCCAGGGGAACAGGAGAATCTACACTTCTATAGCGTAGTCGCGAGGCCCATTTGAGGCTCGGTTTTGTAGTGACTCCATGCGCCAGCCTGGAGTAGTGAGTTGTTATCAAGGGACGGTTGGGAGGCCTGGGCCAGACCCCCAGCCGAGACCCAGCAGCTCCGGCCTCACTCCGCCACGCTCGCAGGGCTCTCGCTTCCACAGCTCCCGCCGGGAGCGCTACGGGGCAGTGTTCAAGACGCACCTGCTAGGCAGGCCGGTGATCCGTGTGAGCGGCGCCGAGAACGTGCGCACAATCCTGCTGGGCGAGCACCGCCTTGTGCGCAGCCAGTGGCCGCAGAGCGCGCACATCCTTCTGGGCTCGCACACCCTGCTTGGCGCAGTCGGCGAGCCGCACCGTCAGCGGCGCAAGGTGAGCCCAAACCTGCGATTCCTGGGCACCTATTGTGGGTCAAGGTGGGGCTAGATTTTAGGGGCACGTTTGGAAGCTGGCAGAGCCCCCCGGCTAACCAGTGGTGGCTTTGGACCAGCCCCTTACCTTTTCCCGCTTTGGTTTATAAGGCCAGGATTGAGGCTTAAGGGACATTTCATCTCCAATCTTCTATGTGTGGATGACATCAGAATGGGTGGGGACAAGGGACCAGAAAGTCCCCCATGGAAAGGGACCAGGGGCGACTTCCCGGAGGAAGTGGCAGCTGGAACCTGGATGGGTGGGAGGGACTGTAAACATCAGAGAATTAGAATCTGGGAATGGCGATAGCAAAAGCCAACACATTTAGATCCGGGCCACGTAGAAGAAAGGGACCAAAGTTGCCATTCCTGTGCCTCTGGAATCGCGGGGCAGAGGAAGCCGGACCATGGGCATTGCTGACCCCGCGGGCTCCCCACAGGTCCTGGCACGAGCCTTTGGTCGTGCGGCGCTGCAGCGGTTCGTGCCCCGCCTGCAGGGGGCGCTACGGCGCGAGGTGCGCTCCTGGTGCGCGGCCCGCCGGCCGGTTGCCGTCTACCAGGCCTCCAAGGCTCTTACGTTTCGCATGGCTGCGCGCATCCTACTGGGGCTACCGCTGGACGAAGCGCAGTGCGCGGAGCTGGCCCAGACCTTTGAGCAGTTCGTAGAGAACCTCTTCTCGCTGCCCCTGGACGTGCCCTTCAGCGGCCTGCGCAAGGTACTGCCGCTCTGGCCTCAGACCTTCCTCGTGGGGCTTCCCAGCGTGTGTCTTCCAGGCGAAGACCGGGCTCCCTCAGCGCGCCCCACGCGACACCTCTGCTGGGGACCCTGGGCACGGCCCAGGGTGGAGAGGTGGCATGGTGTGGCGGTGGGCGCCGGGGCTGGCCTCTGTCCTCACGGGCTGTGTGACCCCAGCCTCTCCGGGCAGCGCTGGCTCCCTGACTTTGGGTCTCTGAGGCGACGGGCGCCCAGCCAGTTCGCCCAGCACCTCCCCAGAGCAGTGCCCCCTGGCCAGGCGTCCAGCGCCTCTCTGGACGCCCGGATGGATGCGGAACCGCTGCGAGCACTAGCGCGCGGACACTTCCCCGGTCTAGCCGGGGTTGGAGAGGAGTGGGTGCCGGCTTCGCGGCCGCGGCTCCGGACGCACTACTTTCTGGATCAGAGAACCGCTGCTTCTTAGACCTCAGAACGGCGGGCTGGGCCCAGAGGGCAACGAGGAGGGTCACATTTGCCTTTTCTTCGTCCCTGAGCTGGGGTTTCTCACTGTCCTGATGCCTCGGTTTTTGTTTCCCAAATAAAAAGAATAGTTATGTATAGAGGGGCATGCCATAGGCTGATCGCCTTGAATACATTTTCTGATTTAATCCTTTCAGCCTGCACAGTGTTATTATTCTTGTTTTATTGGTGAAGAAACTTAAGCTCAGAGAGGTTAAGTGACTTACCCAAGATCACACAGCGTGCCAGCAGAGGCAGATTTGAACCCCATCTCCTATGATGAGTTTGAACCCAAGTGCTCAGATGCTTTTGCTGTGCTTGCTCCATGAACTCCCTACCTCTTGACTACTTGCTTTACAGAGGCTAATGTTTAGACCATCCAGTAGTGTGGTGTCTAAGCCAGAGCTTTTTTTGGATGTATGCATCGAAGTGTGCCTTATTGTCCACACTGGTGCCCACTGCTCCTGCCTAGTCTAGTGAAGGGAAAGAGAAATGGACTGATTACAGCCCACTAGGCTCTGTGTCAGGCATGGGCACTGAGAGCTGTGTGACTCTGGGCAATTGCTTGACCCTTCTGAGCCTCAGCATCCTCCTCCTGGGCTGACAGTAACTGCCTTGCCTCAAAGGTGGAATGTGATAATCAAGAGAGAATTATGTGTAGAGATGGTGGATAAATTCCTGAACATTTATTGAGCTCCTACTATGTGCCAGGCATGAAGCTAAGCTGGGAAACTTAACACCTGGATCTCAGCGGACCAGAGCAGCCCAAGGAAGATTTCGGGGGGAAGGGGGGAGGTAGGTGTGCAGGCCTGGCCCCCTTGGCCTTCCTGTCCCACCTCCCTTCTCTCCCCACACATCAGGGCATCAAGGCACGAGACCAGCTACATCGGTACCTGGAGGAGGCCATTGCAGAGAAGCTTCATGAAGACAAGGCTGCTGAGCCAAGCGACGCCCTCGACATGATTATCCACAGCACTAGGGAGCTGGGCCATGAGCTCTCAGTGCAGGAGCTGAAGGTAGGTGGTGGGAAGGTTTTACTTCTTCCCCTTTTGCTTTCCTGGCGGGTCTCCGTACCCCTGCTATCCTTTCCT